AACCAAGGACAGTCACAAGGTTATCAAAACAAGAACAGGCAGCAGCAAAACAAAAACCAAAAAAAAACAATGCACTGCCACGTATGCGGCAGCACTGAGCACTGGGCAGGGAAATGTCCTAAGAGGTGGGGGGCACAGCAGCACACACACAATTTGCCTGCTCTGCCCCCACCCCTGCAGCCCACACTGCCGCCTCCCCCACCTATGTCCAGCAGCCACTTTCCACCCTATGACAGGCAGGCCCAGCAGGGGCAGTATGCAGCAGCACAGGGTGGCTATAATGAACAATAGGGAGGCCATGGAGGAATAGGGTCAATAACACAAAAAATCCACATTCAAGCAGCAACTATTCGCCTTTCCACTAACCCCCGCGAAGATCCAATGATGCCGGTTGAGGTTAATGGCACAACTGTTGACATTTTGGTTGACAGTGGTGCAACATTATCAGCTGTACGAACAAAAGAGAAGGTGTGTAAAGCAACTAACAGTTTTGTTACCACTGTAGGCGTTTCCGGCGTTCCAATAGCAGAGCCTATTTCAGAGAGAACTAATATTTCCGTTGATGGATCACAGGTGCAACACTCTTTCATTATCTCAGAGGGCAGCCCAATTAACCTGATGGGCAGAGACCTACTGTGTAAGCTACAAGCAACCTTTAAGGTACAAGGGCTTAATCTCGCTCATTGTTGACACAATAAATAAGGATTACCTACCAGACGGTTTCAAGCGAGTAATGGTCCTAAAAATTATATATGTGAAGAAGTACTTAAACCTAGTTTTTGAATACAGATTCCAATTAGCTCTAGTCCAGACTAATTGTTCAATTAACTATACGGGACCAACATGTTCACCTCAACCACACACACCATCTTTGTTGGTTGAAGCCTTAGTAACAGTGGTACCCTGGTTCGGGTCCCGAACAGTGGACTCGATTAAAGTTAAAATACATGATTGCTCGCTGCCATTACCCCTAGGTAAGTCCCCTACACGTGACTGTTCAGTTTATATTCCCCCAGTTGTGGTGCATGAGTGGAAGAATGTGTCTATCTGCTTTCAGAACGGAGGAGGGTTTCTACCCTCTCACGATGTGGGCCACAGCGACTGTAACACCGTAATAAAGGTCAAACTAACCAGTACTCCCCTCCCAGAGAGTTTACTTGGTCTGTGGAGATAGAGCCTACAGTTGCATGCCTTATGACACTTTTGATGGCACCTGTTATCTAGCCTATCTAATCCCTTTGATCCGTAAAGTAGAGATTGATGAGATTGCAGCAATACTCCCCTCCCTACACAGAAATCGTAGGACCATCACAACAGGTCAGCAGCTGGCTAGCGCTGTCCTGCCCTGGTACGGCATTTATGTTTCCCAGCAGGAAATCATAGCTCTCTCCAAAATAGTGGAAAACCACCTCAATGTATCCAACAGAGCCATGTTGGCTGAACACAAAGAACTGCAGGAAGTTAGAACAGTGGCATTACAGAATCGCATGGCACTGGATCTTCTGCTAGCAGCACAGGGGGGCACGTGCAAGGTGATTGGCTCTGAGTGTTGTTCTTTCATCTCTGATGCTACACCTGAGGTCATGGATATGGCTCATGATACTGCTAGGGGAATAAAAGAATTGCACGAAACTCATGGGTTTGCATTTGGGGATTTATCTGGAATATTTGGGTCATGGGGAGCGGGATTGGGTAAACTTGCCATTACCATTTCACTGTTTATTTTAGCTGTACTAATCCTGATAATGTGCCTAGTCACTGTTGTTAAACTAGTCATACAAAAGGTTGTCAAAACCGCCCTCCAGGCCCCACAGACACTGGTGGGGTACGACACCATTGATGACACCGTGATGATGTACGACGTCGAGCTTCCCGACCCGTGGGTCTCTACCGTGGCACCCGAACCATGGGTTCCCCCTTACAACGAATGGCCAATTAATTAAAACTGATTAAAGTTGATTTTTTTCCTTTTCAGGTTGTTACACTACACAATACATGTCTGACTTTTCCTTTTCAGATTTTGAATGTATTGATATTACTAAAATTAAGTGCCTGACTCTTAAGATAATACTAAAATTGAGGACACTGCAATTTTGCAGATCATAGATTGATCAAATCACCATTGTGAATTCTATACTCTAACTGTGAATTTTTAGCAGGGTCTCTTACGATCCTGAGTTTTATTATGCTTTTGACTAGTGATTGCCTTGAAGTAAATCTTTAAAGCGGCAAGCTGGTTTTGATTTTATAGTTTGATGAATGAAATTAACTAATGGTAAATGATAAAAGATATTAGTTTAAAACAAATATTTAGCCATTGTGCACCTGTGTTTTATGTGTGTTCATTATTATGCTTTTGACAAAAGATGATCAAACACTGATGAGAGATGATTTTTCCTATTATAATTGGCTGTATCAATCATTGTGATTGAATGTTTCAATCTTATTCCACTTTGTGATATAATTGATGTAAGGTGAGACCACACTCGAACCTGGAGACGCCTATTGAGTTAATTATTGTCCAAATTATTATTAGACTAATGTTTTTAGGTTATCATAAATGATAAAAAGAGAGGACTGTTGTGGAAATAATTATCATAAGACGCCAATTAGTAACATACAGGACAAACCTCGATGTCTGTTTACCTTCTTTAAGGACACAGGCGGCTTAGCCAATAATGTTATTGTTCCCATTCTGTGACCGGTCAATACTGGGATACAGATGGTCTGTGTTGTGGGTACACTGGGACACTTCCTTCTCTGTATTTGTGGACTCCAAGGTAAAATCTTCGAGGTCATAAGTGTCCGAGGCAAGTAGCTCTGTGTTCCCACACTGTTTAGGCTATCTCCTCAAATATGTTGTTTACTCTCTGCGAAACCAGTTAGATGGGCTGGCAAGAGAGAGGCTCTCCAGAATTGACGTGGCAACTCTACCGTGGAGTCAGAACCTCTGACTCTTGGATTTGTGATGTGAATACTCTGGTACCAACTCCAAATAAATCACAGTGGTTTGACATCAAAGCTCCGACTCTTCCCGTGTCTCCTTCCTGAGTCGGTGACTCCACTGCATGCTACACAGAAGTTTCCTCTACATACACTTTTGGGCTCCCATCATGGTGTAAGTGTGTGATGTGTTTCTGGTCAAAGAAAATAAACACAAACAAAATAGTTAGGCAATAGGCAGGAATAAAATAAGTTGCATATACATTTATTTTGTAAAAATCGAATTGAAATATAGTTTATGCATAGTTTTTTCAGGACTTTGCTTATACAGCAATCCTACTATTACATACAACCCGGTATCACGGCAAGACGTGAACATGTGACGAATTACCATGCTGGGAGACGTGAAGATGTCACGGTTTCGTCCCCTTCAAACGTGACAGCTACAAGGTATTGTTAACCCATGTTAACCAGTGGAGAAATAACCGGAAATACCAAGCAAATGCTACCCCGACGTAATGATTTATTTTTTAATAGTCACACTCGATTACAGCGATGTTCTTGTTGCCCCAGCTGGTCGACACCTCTTTTAGCATAAATAAAGGCTACATTAATGTATTAAATCGATGTTAATCCATGCGTGCGGATGTGGAATTAACGGACGTGACGTTGTGCGATTGAGTTGCCAAGCAACAGCTTCGGTTCATGTTAATTTACAAACTATTCAACTACAACCGTAGTTATATTTAAAAACATGTTAGAAGGCCTCACAAAATACTTTAATGCACATTCAAATGTAAATGTGAAGGAATGTGTGTATAACAAAATACATCGGTCATTAAACGAAACCGGAAACAGACGTAGGCAAGATCCTCAGCTCGATGATTGGATGGTTATCCGCAATGCATGCTGGGATTTGGTGTTTATGTGATGTGAAATCTGAAAACGTTTTTTAAAAATACAATAATACTTTATTCCGAGTGGGCTTGCTTTTCTCTTTGAAAGTCATCACATAACGGCATTGTAATACACGGTTCGGCTGCATTAAATATTACATATCTGCCGTAATTCTCTATTTATAGAGCCCTGATGAGAAGACTTCTAGACAAACAGGAGAACTGCCGCCAAAACTGAAGATGTGACGTGGATCATAAATATATAAGCAATTATATGGGTTGAGAAGGAGGGGCCGTTAGTCACGTGCCAGGAGGGGCTTAGGTTGAGAAGGAGGGGCCTAGGTTGAGAAGGAGGCGCCGTTAGTCACGTGCCTCAAAGGTTGAGAAGGAGGGGCTTGAGGTACTGCGCACTGCAGTGAGGGGCTTCTCACAACAAGAGCAAGGCTGCTACCAGAGCATCTTATCGTGTCAGTCACGTTCTTGCGAAACACATGAAGTCTTTCAAAGACGGCGAAGTTGTGAAAGAAGCATTCCTGGAGGCTGCCGACGCGCTTTTGGGGGACAGTCAAAATAACAGTAGCATTTCAACAGGTTTTTGATATAATAAAAACTCAAGTTAGATACCGTTATTAATCAGCTGTAAGTTTTAGTTTGTTTGAACTTATTCATTATAATTAATGTACAATGGTATAAGAATGCAAACATTCAGATCTGTTCTGTTTAAATTGATTATAGTCTATTATCAATTCAGGTTAAGAAACTAGTGTTGCTTGCATCCTATTTTAAAGGCATTTATTTGTATACTCTACTAAAATGCAACAAAAAAAAGGTTTGATTCTATTAATGTTGTCTTTTTTATTGCACTTTGGCAGCAGATTCCTGTGTAGCTTCAGATCTGAGTTGTCTTATTAGTAAGCCTCATTTATACTTTTGTAGCAACACTATTTTTATATAATGGCATATTCTTTTTTCCTGTGTCATATGTGGCAGCACTGTTCAATGTTTCTTGAAAACATTACCCACTGTAGTATGTGACGTGTGAATAAACTCCAACTCTGTATGAATTCTACTGCAGCAGAATGTTGCAGTCTGCACAGTGTTATATTTTCACCGCTCAGTGTTGTACACACACACAGTGTGTACACAAATGTATACATCACTTCAGGGGACATGACATTGACTTACATGCATTTCCTGGAGACTTATCCTAACCTTAAATCTTCAGCCTCCAAAACATTCATCTCCAATCAAAACAAGTCCTTCTGCTTTGACTGCCAGGATTGGATCTGTGCCACAAACACCGTCCTCGTGGGCGGGGACCAGCCCATAATGCTCCGTTACCTAAAGCTCAGTCACTCATTTCACATGATTTGTGCTTGCATGAGGAGCGTGAACACCACGGTGTTATCTGCAGGGCTAAGCACTGTCAACAGCAGAACAAATGTCTCTTTGGCACGATTTTGTTCTCATCTTTTTCTCTAATCCCACCACTTTGTTGGGGTTGGTGGCTCTCCTGCTCATTCTCTATCTTGTATCCAGTAGTTTAATCACCAAGGAAATAGGGAAGGAGCCCCCAGGACCGAGGCCTCTTCCCCTGCTTGGTAACCTGTTGCAGCTTGATCTCAAGAGACCCTACAAAACCCTCTATGAGGTGAGCTATCCTAAAGCAAATCCATGTTGATACAGTTGTTGTTGTTAGAGCTATATATCTCTTTATATTATGTAATACTTAAACATTTATTTTCTTGCTGTTTATAGTGTTTATTGTAAATGTAGCCTATTATTGTCGTAAGTTAAAGTAGTTTCTATGCTTATTTTGAAGGCATGTTTGTATATATTGGAGACAGGTGGTGGTGGTGGGAGCCAGAGCACTAGTAGGCAAACTGTTTTTTACCAGGGTTTTCCAGCCACAATAAAGGAAAGGCTTAAAGGAATGCTCCACTCATTAGATAATTAATCAAAACTTCAGTATTTAGTGAAACATTATGTTTAAACCATACCCTGAAGAAATCAGCGATATTCCCCGGTAAATAATGATTTTATAGCTCTTTTTTTATCAAAACCTGTATATTCCGTCAGGCCGTTGCCATTTTGCCCATTTTCAGTAGTCACGTGATGGTCGTGACGTCATCCATGCGTTCACTTTGTAAACACACGAAAACTTGGCGGAGTATTTGAGTTCGGACTCGTCAGCCGAGGAAGAAGTTTTGAGCAATATGAAGAGATTGGATGGGGGAATTCAGCCATACAGGTTCGAGCCTACTTAGTAGATACAATGCTTTTGATTACTAGATATGTATGCATGTGGTACCACCCTTGCTAGCGATTCCCGCTCTAGTTTAGCATACTCAGCCTCGTTGTCCCTGGCCCTAGAACCACGATTTTATGGGGCCGGAAAAACTGGGGGAAAATACCCACTAGCCGGTACTACGCTATATGGAAAGGCCACCAAAAACTGGCCTGGCCTGGACGATAAAGGACGTTTAAACGGGGCTACCCGCTGCAATGGAAATGCACTATAACATACCTTATTCTTACTCCGAGCACTACTTCTGGTCCTCCGTCGCTTCACACTTGCAGAGGGCGATTTCTCAACTGGCCGAACTTGTGTCCTGGTCGGTGATGACACCAGAAAGACCGATGGTACTGCATCTCCATTAAGTAATGGTTGTTCAATAAATCCCATGTTATATTTTATCATACTCTCAGAGTAGTCGTCCGGAAACTTGAAATGTTCGCTGCATACATGCGCCTGTGGATCTTTCGGTTCGGGCCGGTGTTCCGGATTAACTGGTTCCCCGATCAACTGGTTGACAGATGTGGAGGCGTGGCCTTCGACTGAAATACACATTTCGATCGCTTCTTCTGTCGTTTACATAAATCGTTTGGTATATTTGGCTCCATAGGAACACTTTGATGCACATTCAGTACCAGTGTGTGAGGTTGTGGTTACGATGGCGATATCCGGACGCGAACAGCGAGGACTACAAAAAGAAAAACGAGTTGACTGGGGATGTCTGTTCAAAACATTGCGAGCTCCAATACATCATTTAAACCAGCTATTGTTGCCAGACTTATTACTGAATATCGGTCTTAATGTGATACCAAGTCCATCTGAGACCTGTGTACACCTTCAGACAGCCTCCAAGTGAAGCACATGTTCTTTACTCACAGTTTGAAAGCAGCGTGGAGAAGTCTTCAGCTGTGATCCGCTCGAATAAATCCTTAAAACCAGCTATTGTTGCCCGACTTATCACTGAATATCGTTCCTAATGTGATACCAAGTCCATCTGAGACATGTGTACACCTTCAGACAGCCTCCCAGTGAAGCGTACGTTGTTTACTCAGAGTTTGAAAGCAGCGTGGAGAAGTTTTCAGCTGTGTTAAACTGTGATTCGCCCATGGGGAAATGGGATCCGCCCAGATTAAACTGTGTTACGACTTTTGTGGCTATCTACCAGCGATCATGTTTAATATGAAAGACACACACATATACATCCCTTATAAAAACGGCATTCTGCAGCACTCATCCAGATAACATGCTGTTAACTCGTTTTGCAAAGATAGCAGCAGAAATGTCATTGCTGCATGTGCAGGGATATTAGACTTTAAAATGCTGATGGGTCATTAATGTTGGTCTCGGCAAATAATATTAGGAATCCTCTATTCAAACCACATAATATTCAGTGTCCATCGACATGAAAATAACAAAAAAGTTCATGCTGGACTCAAACCCGAGTTCCAACAGCAAAAGTCACTCCAGCCCTGCGCGTTATGAGTGCACCACAGATCAACACGACGTATCGAACCACCACACTATAATATTTTAGATTCACTGGGAGGCTGTCTGAAGGTGTACACATGTCTCAGATGGACTTGGTATTACATTAGGAACGATATTCAGTGATAAGTCGGGCAACAATAGCTGGTTTTAAGGATTTATTCGAGCGGATCACAGCTTAACACAGTTGAAGACTTCTCCACGCTGCTTTCAAACTGTGAGTAAAGAACGTGTGCTTCACTTGGAGGCTGTCTGAAGGTGTACACAGGTCTCAGATGGACTTGGTATCACATTAAGACCGATATTCAGTAATAAGTCTGGCAACAATAGCTGGATTAAATGATTTATTGGAGCTCGCAATGTTTTGAACAGACATCCCCAGTCAACTCGTTTTTCTTTTTGTAGTCTTTGCTGTTCGCGTCCGGATATCGCCATCATAACCACAACCTCACACACTGGTACTGAATGTGCATCAAAGTGTTCCTATCCAGCCAAATATACCAAAAGATTTATGTAAACGACAGAAGAAGCGATCGAAATGTGTATTTCAGTCGAAGGCCACGCCTCCACATCTGTCAACCAGTTGATCGGGGAACCAGTTAATCCGGAACACCGGCCACATTTCGCTAGCCACTGCCTCCGAACGTACGTTCCTACGCTTACCTTTTGGCAACAGATGGAACCGAGCATTCCGTGGATTGTTCCTATCAGAATTGTGGCAATGTTTCGCGATACAATTAGGCATATTTGAAGAGAGTAACTACAGTAAATAACATGAACATCAACGTGTCCTCGAAACCAAACGCATGGATTACGTCACGTCCGGTAAAATGGCGCCGCCCACAGTGTTGATGTTATTTCGGTAATTAATCAGTTTAAAATCACTGATAATGTCATCGGATTAAAAAAAAAAGAAAAGAAAGACTGGCAGAGACTGGTCTGTTTTATCGGATGATAATTATTTAAAAATGAGTGTCATGAGCATACCATTCCTTTAAGGAACAAACCATAGGAAACCTGTTGAATGATATTGGATCATAATAAAATGCACAAACGGATACTGATTGATTGATTGATTGAAAAGTTTATTAACAGCTTGTATATTGGGTACAGTACAGTACAGCTCAAAACATACAATTGTTAAGGGGATGCAGACCAGAGAAAGACTTTCGTCTTGTTTACATCAGGGTCCCCCATACTCTTGTCTAGACCTGGGTCATTGCCCTGCGTAAGTTCCGCTAACTAGTGCCTCAGCGGCAGTGTTATTTTAAGTGAATTGTCAGTTTTATTTCTATATGATTTTGGCCGCTACAGTTGTAATGATTCACTTGCAGGTCATGCAAACATTTTTTTACTGACGCCATCTCAATTTTTTTACATCTTTTAACAGCTTTCAAAGAAATATGGGTCTGTGTTTACGGTATACTTTGGAACCAATAAAGTGGTGGTGCTGGCTGGATACAAGTCAGTAAAGGATGCTCTGGTCAGCAATGCAGAAGAGTTTGGTGAAAGAGAAATCTCCCCTATTTTTTATGACATGAATGAAGGTCACGGTAGGATTTACCTTTACATAATCTTTAATATACAGTATCTTTCAAACAATAGAAAAAACATTGTAGTGATAATACCTACCATTTATTTGTTGTGAGTCAAATCACACTTGAATATTGTGTTGAATAGTACAGACATGACTACTACAGATTTATATTTAACATGCATGTCATGTTTAAAAGGAATCCTGTTTGCAAATGGAGAATCATGGAAAGAGCTGAGACGTTTTGCCCTCGGCACCCTGAGAGACTTTGGCATGGGCAACAGAATAGCGGAGCAAAAAATCCTAGAGGAATGCCACCATCTGACCCAAATGTTTGAAGATCATAAAGGTATGGAGTAAAAAGCATTTTTGTATTCATCACCCATGTTTTACAGTTTTGTTGTAGCAAAGGCAAATCATGGTGAGGTTCATTTTAATATTAAAAGGCTGCCCTCTTTGTTTTGTTCTGAAATCCTAATAATATCAGTATTCTCAATGCCATTTTACAGGGAAACCATTTGATACAACGCGCCCGTTGAATCATGCAACATCCAATATCATCTCCTCTATCGTGTATGGAAGCAGATTCGAATACAATGACCCCAGATTCAAGGAAATGGTCAGAAGAGCCAACCAGTCCATATGCATTGTTGGATCTGCACAAATCCAGGTAGGCCTCATACTGCTTCGGTTGAAAAATACATGATTTAGGGACAACATGAAAGCTTTTGTTGAATATTTTTGCAAATGGTCAACACCATGAGCTTTTAGCAGAAAGTCCAATAGAAGGTTTAGTACTGTCTTCAGGTCTTTTATACAGATTTGGGCTGGTTGGTGTAAGAAATGTGTGTGTTCTATTTCGTATGGCTTCGCCCTCTAAGGCTATTGCTATTGGGTAATCCCCCTGCGCACCCGCGCAGCACTGAAACACTTGTAGTCCACGCCCACCCGCAAGGTGGGGCCCCACCCTCGGGCTCCCTTCCGGTATAATAGGAAGGAGGCCCGACAATCTGCTCCCCTCTTTTCTTCAGCACACCGTTACTGAAGCACAAGAGACACTTCAATTGCAGAATAAACATGAGTAACAATTGTGTGAGAGATTGTCCCTCATGTGGCTCTGGGTTCATAATGAGTTATGACCAGCACAGATAAAAGCAGTAGAATAGAATAGTTTATGTCATTATACATGTACAATGAGATAAATGCTTCTCCCTTTCAAGGGTGCCATCAAAACTAAAACAAAACATCACAACATAAGACAACAAAATACACGCAGCATACATACTTACAAATAAGGGATAAAGGAATAAAGAATAAAGTGCAGTAATTATTTCCAGGAGTATAAAAATAAAATCTGTAATATAATAAATAATAATAATAGTGTGTATTTATAATAATAATAATAATAATAGTAATGATATATATGTATATGTACAGAGTCACATTGATTCACATGTCAGGTGTTAAGAGCAATGATGGCACTTGGGAAAAAACTGTCTTTGAGTCTGTTTGTTTTGGATGTGATACACCTGTAGGGCCTGCCGGAGGGCAGCAGGTTGAACAGGTGAAAGCCGGGGTGTGAGCTGTCCTTGATAATGTTTTTGGCTCTACTGAGACAGCGGGAGGTGTAAATGTCCATCAGGGAGGGGAGAGGGCAGCCGATGATCCTCTGTGCTGCTTTTACGACTCTCTGGAGCCTCATCCTGTCGGCCTCAGTACAGCTGGCGTACCACACTGTGATGCAGTATGTCAATAGGCTCTCGATGGTAGAGCGGTAGAAGGTCACCAGCAGCTTAGTGGCCAAGTTGTTCTTCCTGAGCACCCTCAGGAAGTGCAGACGCTGCTGGGCCTTCTTGATGACAGCTGTGGTGTTGTCCTTCCAGGCAAGGTTGTTGGTGATGAGGACGCCGAGGAACTCGAAGGTGTGGACCCTCTCCACACACTCGCCGTTAATGTCGAGGGGAGCGAGGTCGGTAGTATTCCTCCTGAAGTCTACGATGATTTATTTGGTTTTTGTGGGGTTCAGTGCCAGGTTGTTCACTGAACACTACGCTGAGAGCTTCAGTACCTCACTCCTGTAGGCCGACTCGTCTCCTCCTGAGATGAGCCCCACCACAGTGGTGTCGTCAGCAAACTTGACGATGATGTTCTCTGGGTGGGCTGGACTGCAGTCGTGGGTGTAGAGCAAGTACAGGAGAGGGCTCAGCACACAGCTCTGAGGAGAGCCGGTGCTGAGAGTGCGGGTGGAGGAGTGATGGGGGCAAAGTCTCACACACTGGGGGCGGTTAGTGAGGAAATCTTTGATCCAGGAACAGGTGGGTGGGGGAAAGCCTAGGTTTGACAGTTTGCAAACTAGAATGTCCGGGATGATTGTGTTGAACGCTGAGTCAATGAAGAGCAATCTGACATAGCTCCCACGATGCTCCAGGTGGCTCAGTGCACAGTGGAGAGCTATGGCTATGGCGTCTTCAGTGGATCTATTTGCTCTGTAGGCAAACTGGTGTGGGTCGAGGGTGGGGGGAAGGCAGGCCTTTATGTGATGTAACACCAGCCTCTCAAAACACTTCATGATCACAGTGTGAGTGCAATGGGGTGGTAGTCATTAAGGCTGTCTGTGGTTGCTTTCTTAGGAACAGGAATGATAGTGGCAGTTTTAAGGCAAGGTGGGATAACAGCGAGTTTCAGGGAGAGATTAAAAATGCTGGTGAAGACCTGTGAGAGCTGGTTGGCACATGCTCTGAGCACCTTCCCAGGTACTCCATCTGGACCAGCAGCCTTCCTGGGGTTCACTGCTTTGAGCACCTGTCTCACATCATGCTCCTCCACAGTAAGTGGGGGGGTACTGGAGGCGGTTGGGGGCTGGGGTGGAGTTGCTGATTGCTGCTGTGGTGTCTCGAAGCGAGCAAAGAAGCAGTTCAGTTCCTCTGCTAGCGACACGCTTGAGTCCCCAGTTGCCGTGTCACACCCCCTGTAGTTGGTAATGTTCTTAATGCCCTGCCACACCTGCATAGGGTTGTTGCTTGTGAGGTGGTCCTCAATCCTTGTTTTGTAGTCTGTCTTGGCTTTTGTGATTCCTCTCCTCAGGTCGGCTCGAGCAGCACTGTAGAGAGCTCTGTCCCCTGACCTGAAGGACGAGTCACGGGCCTTGAGCAGCATGTGGATCCGGCCAGTCATCCAGGGTATCTGGTTTGGGAAAACCCTGATGCTTTTTACCATAGTGACGTTGTCGATACAGTATTTAATGTAGGACAGTACCGTCTCTGTGTATGCTGCCAGATCCTGGTGTTGGTGTTCAAATACATCCCACTGGGTGTGTTCAAAGCAGTCCTGAAGCTGAGCAAGTGCATCCTCAGGCCAGGTTGTAACATACTTTCTAGTTGGACATGTTCTCCGTCTAAGGGGGGTGTATGCAGGGGTCAGTAGCAGGGAGATATGATCTGACAGGCCTAGGTGGGGGAGAGGTATGGCTCTGTATGCGTGCTTGATGTTGGAGTACACATGATCAAGAGTGTTTTTCCCTCTGGTCGGACACTTGACATGCTGGTAGAATTTAGGCAGGACAGATTTTAGGTTGGCCTTATTGAAATCTCCTGCAACAATGTGAACGCCATTGGGGTGAGCTTGCTGTTGGTGGTTGATGGTGTTTAGCAGGAGGGAGAGTGCAGTGTTGACGTTAGCTTGTGGTGGTATATACACAGCCGTGAAAATCACTACAGTTAGCTCTCTAGGTAGAAAGAACGGGCGGCATTTAACCAACATGAACTCCAGGTCAGGAGAGCAGTGATGGTCAATGATGATGCCGTTATTACACCCCTAGCTCAGGAGAGGTGTGCTCCGGACGACATAACCAGAGTTTTTTCGCGGGTGCAGATGGTCAGGAGTGACCCGATCTGGCCACGCTTCCCGGCCATCAGGAGGTTCCAGGAGGGGGCGGCGGCGAACCCGAGGACCCTGAAGGCTCCGGTGGCCACATTTGTTCCCCTCACCAAGGTGGAGGGGTTCACAGATGCTGGTTTCCCAACCACCCCTTATTTGGAGCCGAGCCTGACTGTGTTTTTTGGGGTAAGACAGGCCAACATAATCGCCGGACGGCGCCCTACGTTGAGCTCCCCCAGCGACCAGTAGGCTATGTGCACCAGTGTGCCTTTCAGGCGGCAGCGAATAACATCGCGCTGCTCTCCAACTCGGTGGTGACACTGGTAGAACGGTCCATTCAAAAACCTTTTTGAATGCTTGTTTTCTGAATGGAGATTGGGTCGACCAGGCTAATCTAACGTTGTATATGCTCACTCCACACTCATAACAACGACCTACAGACATGAATAAACCAGCGACTGTATTCGCCATGACACAGACAGTGCCGAGCCGTGCGGGGCCCGTTTTTGGTTGCGTTTCCACTTGGCCTAGTACCGGCTAGCGGGTCCTAATTCACAGTTTTTCTGGCCCCATAAAATCGTGGTTCTAGGGCCAGGAACAACCAGGCTGAGTCGGGCTGAGTATGCTAAACTAGAGAGAGAATCGCTGGCAAGGGGGCTACAACTACAACAAGATGAACATATTTTACCGTGATTTAATTGTAATACACGTTTCAAAATGATGCCGAATTAACAACATACTGATACCGGTTAGTAAAAACCATTAATTAATGCTTTGACAAGTCTGCAAACCCTTTTAAAATGCGTGTTTTCTAAATGGAGCTTGGCTAAGCTAATGTTATATATGCTCCGACCGTCCACACTCACAACAACGGCCTATACAGCATAAATAAACCAGCGACTGTATTCTCCATGACACAGACAGTCTGTGGTTTGTACTTGTTTAACTTTTGTCTAGTTTCTGAACAGATCGTATCTGTCCCCGGCTGTTTGAAGAGCAAGCATGGGAAACAAAAGACAGCATTTACCTGTTTGCATCCAGCTAGCCATGCCTTTCTGGTGTACCAGCTACGTGAGAAGCCTCGTTGATACGTTTTGTCTTTTTCCCGAGCTTGCTGCGATATATACATTACATTACATTGCATTTAGCTGACGCTTTTATCCAAAGCGACTTACAATAAGTACATTCGACCAGGAAGACACAACCTTGAAGAAAACAGAATCATATAAGTACATCAGGTTTCATAGAGCCAAACATTTCAAGTGCTACTCAACTGGCTTTAGGTAAGCCAGTCCTTTATTAGTATAAAAGTGCTTCGTTAATAGTTCTATCGCTCGAAGTGGAGTCGAAAGAGATGAGTTTTCAGTTTGCGCCGGAAGATGTGCAAGCTATCTGCCGTCCTGATGTCAATGGGGAGCTCATTCCACCATCTTGGAGCCAGGACAGCAAACCCACGTGTTTTCGCCGATGGGAACTTGGGTCCCCCTCGCAGCGAGGGCGCAACGAGTCGTTTGGCTGATGCAGAGCGTAGTGCACGCGCTGGGGTGTACGGTTTAACCATGTCCTGGATGTAGGAAGGGCCAGATCCATTCGCAGCATGGTAAGCAAGTACCAGTGTCTTGAAGTGGATTCTAGCAGTTACCGGAAGCCAGTGAAGGGAGCGGAGGAGCGGAGTGGTGTGGGAAAATTTAGGAAGGTTGAAGACCAGACGAGCCGCTGCATTCTGGATGAGCTGCAGAGGTCGGATGGCACATGCAGGTAGACCAGCCAGGAGGGAGTTGCAGTAGTCTAGGC